CATCATCTGTGTTCTGCAGCTCTGTCTCCTGGGAGCTCTGCATGGTCTTCTCGTTTGTCTTCACCCCATCCTTCTCTGTAGATGCACCAGCCTTTGGTCTTGGATGTTTTTCACTGGTTTTCTTTCGGTATCTGGAGGGCAGAGGCATTTTCTAAGGGAATGAGTAGACAACCACAAGATGAGTTAAATCTCAAGATCCATTAGGAAAAAATAAAAAAGTAAACTAAAGAAAAGGACCATAAATTTTATATTGATTAATTGACCAAGAGTCATCTAAAGTATTTAAGACAATGCCTCAGTTACTTTTTTCCTATGGAAAAAAAATCATCTCTGATAAATTATAAATTCAGGATGACAATCATATCAAAATATTTCAGTTCACTGTTGAAGAATGCCCATCATACAGGCAGTAAATGAGTTCCTGGTCTTTTAAAGACAACCAAGGAACAAGGGCCTACAATCTTTGATGGATGCCATTCCTTCTCAAGGATGTATGTTCCAACCTTAGCACCTGTGTTCTTATTAGAATTCTGTCACATACACAAAACTACACTGCCCACCTGTATTTTGATTAATTCTTCAAACTGAAGATACATACAATTCATTCAGTCCCTGACAACTACTACAGACACTTTTAATTAGCTCTTTTCCAGGCAGGAAAACTCTTAAGGCATTAGTCTACTCCTAGTGCAAATCCCCAAAGGACATGAATATATCTGTGAATAAGCCCTGCTCTGGATCCATATGTGCATCCCCATTACCTGATCTGGAAGGGTTGAGTTTTCTACTTGGGTTTCCTCTTTTGTTTTCATGACGTTACTAATCTGCTCTTCTACTGGTTCAGTTTTTCTAGACATGATTCTCAGGTGTTTCATCTTCACAGGCTCAGGTGACATGTGCCTCTTGCTGGGAGCAGCCCTCTGTTTCTTAGGTGCAGGTTTCTCATCTATCGCTTCCTGCTTTGGAGACACAGAGCACAACCCCCTGGTTCTTAGAACACCTCCATCTCTTGCAGATTTCCTCTTGGGGGACAGGAAAGTGTTGCTTTTGCTTTGTGATTCTGCAGGGTCTCTGGTATCCACCGACATTTCCACAGTGTCCTCTTTAGAGGCCCTTAGCACTCTCCTGCTTGTTCTCAGAGGTTTTATGGGGTCTGGCATTTGCTGTGTTGTGCTCTTAAGGGTGATGGTGTCATGCCTTAGTTTTTCAGTGTGCTCTGATATTTGAATTATTTTTTTGGAGTCACATAGGACTTCAAGAGCTTGGACCTCATTCTTATGTGCCCTTAGCTGCCTCCTACTGCCAGTTACACTGGCAACTGTTTCTAATTTCTGCTTTCCAGGCTCCTTTGAAGCTTGGGTGTCTTTGTCATCAATTTCAGAGACCTTGCAGGATCGCGTAGTTTGCCTTGATGTTGGCACTGTCTTCTTCACTACTGAAGGTTCTTCATCCACCTCTACTTTCCCGCGTCTTGTCCTAAGACGTCTTGGTGAGGTCTGGAGGTTGTCTTCTTGCTCTGGTTGTACCCTTGGGGTTCTTTCATCACTTGCTAATTCCTCAGTGTGACCTGGAATTTGTACTGGTTCTATGGGTCCAGTCACTTCCAGGGGTTGTGCCTTTTCCCTAGGTACCCTCCGTGGCCTCTTGCTGACAGGCACACTTGCTACTGGGTCAATCTTCCGCTTTGTAGACTCCTTAAACTCTTCAACATTTCCACTATTACTCATGGGCTCTTTGAGTGTATTCCTGGTTACTCTGCCTTGTGGTTTTTTCTGAGCTGTGGGCTCTTCTTTCATACCTACATTGCACAGTTGTATTCTGAACTGCCTCTTTGAGGATGCTGAGGTTTCCTTTTCTTCAAGTTGTGGAAATTCACAAGATATTCTTGTGGCTGTTTCCTCTTGGATGCTGGGCAGCTCCTTCAAGGGCTGGGTCTTCTCCTTAAGTGTCCTTGGTTGGCCCCTTCTGCTGGTTAAAATTACAGCTGGGTCTTGTTTCTGCATTGAAGATTCCTTAAACTCTTTGACATCTTTGTTGTCACCCACAGGCTCTTTGTATGTGTTTCTGGTTTCCCGCAACACTCTTGTAGTCTTTCTTTGTGCTAGAGGCTCTTTTGTCACACCCACTCTCCTGAGTCTTCTTCCTGGTTGTCTCTCTGAAGTTGTGTCCATGGGCTCTGGAGATTTGCTGGGCATCTTTGTGGTTTTGTCAACAGTCACTGACTCCACTGCTGAGGTTGGAGTTTGACAGAGCTCTTGGGAGTCAGGCAGATCCTCTAGGGTCTGTGCCTTTTCTGCTCGCGTAACTCGTTGCCTCTTGCTGCTGGGCACACTGACTGCTGTATCCAATTTCCGCTTTACAGACTGCTTCCTTGTTCTAATGCCCTTGTCTTCACATTCGGGTACTCTAGATATGTCCACAATTTCCTCTGACATTTGTGGAAGCATTCTGTCTCCTGATAGTTCACTTTTCACATGAACTTTCATTCGTCTAGTTCTGAACTGTCTCTGTGAGGTTACTGAAGTGCTTATTGGCTCTGGTGGCAAAGATCTGTGGGGCATTTTTGTGACCTGATCACCTGTCAATGAATTCTTGTCATGACCTGGTGTTTGGAAGAGCTCCTGGAGACCAGATAGGTCTTCTAGGAACTGGGACCTTTTCTTACATGCCCCTCGTTGCCTCTTGCTGCTAGTTACACTCACTGCTGGGTCTAATATCTGAGCTGCAGATTCCTGTAAATCTTTGGTTCCTGTGCCATCATTTTCTGAAAGTCTGAGTACATGCATGACTTCCTGTGCTGAATACCTTCGTTCCTTCAGCGGAGAGAGTTGTTCTTTCACATCCACGTTATCAAGACCTGCCTTGGACAGTCTCTTTGTGCTTGCTG